TTTGCCCTATTGCTGTTGTGTCAACCTCCTAAGGGGGATAAATAAAGGAATATCTTATCTTAACTTATCTTATGTTCTGATTATCCATTTGGTCATCTATTTCCAGCAGTCCGGAAGCCGCAGATCGCAATAACAGATGCTCCAACCAGTTTGTGTGCTTTTTCCCCCTTCTCTTCAGGAGTCTCTTCATGAGACAAATCATCTGCTGGTTAATCACAAGTCTTTAGACATAATTAATCCTTGATTAAAAAGGATCAACCCCAGTCTGAGATCAAAGGTTGTGCTAGATAATTAACACATCAGGATAGGTTTAATAGGGTCATGTTTGAACAGCATGTCATTGATATAGACAAGCTAATTATCTACGCACATCATGTTAAAAAGCAATGACTCCCTCTCGACCTCCCATTTTGCATCCCCATTTTAAGGTGAATTCTGTCAGAGATTCTGATGAAACCACAATATAAATGTATTATTTTGATTAAAAAAAGGATTTTTCACTGCATTTGTATACACATAGTGGTAAACAATAATGCTGATTTTATTCCTACATCCTGGGAATATTAGTGCACAGAGCAAGGGTGACCTATAGGCAAAATACCATAGCATTAAGCAGCATATATCTGCGCCTGTCATCTAAATTTGGTTCCATTTGCACAATGTGTTCAAGAGTTATAGTAATTTATGATAAATAACCAATGATACAATTAAAGTTACACAAAATGAAAATGCCTGAAAAATCTATGTATGCGAATATGTGCCTGGCCTACATGGTTAGATAGTGTTAGATGAAGGAATCAAGGGAGAACTCAACACAACACAACACAACACAGTTCAGAAGCAAAAATGGTTTCTTTCCAGTAAATCCCAGCTGTTAAAAAGTAGCATCAATCTGCTAAGTACTTCCTGAGATATCCTGCTAGCTAACAGACAAACACACAAACAAAACTTTCTTGGCGGAGGTAATTAATGATGAAAATAAAACTACAAACTAGGCTGTCTTACTGACAGATGCGCTGCAGTGAAACACAATTATCCCTGTCAATCAAATTCAGTGAGCTTCCTGTCCTGAAGGTGCATGCAGTCAGCATGCCGATTGGATTACATATTTTTACTGTGGGACACATCCTGCACTGCAACCAGCAGCAGCTGTCTGGATCTCTGGTGGACAGCAATGACATGACTGGACAAAAGTCACAAAGCGATGTTTGTGACATTGTGAATGATATAATAGTTGCATATGTCTGATAGTTTAGATTACAATATGGTAGATGATAATGATAATTACACTGTCCACTGGTAATCTTTGTTTCACCGCATTGCAATCAGCCACCCAGTGTCCACATCCAACCATTTGAAGAATATGACTGCTTTGAACTTTATTGTTGATCATGACAAAAAGAACAAATTTAGAATCAGACAGTCACATTTCGGATTGTTTGACAGAGCTGTTCCCTTTGCAATATAAATATCTGACTTGTTTCTTTCTGCCTAAAATGAGTGCTACATGTGTTTTATAACTGACTAATGACCTGATGCAAGACCTCTGCAACACAACTGTAAATTTACTGCTTATTCAACGCTATACTTTTTTCATTATAGCTCCTACATGTGAACTGCTGCAGACAATAGAGAGCAAATGGTTATTTATTTATGTTTTGCATAGTTTCACAGTGGATGTTTAAAGCTACATACAGTATGATTGCACCATGACCAGAACTTATGTGAAGACTTTCATGACACAAGGATAGGGGGAGAAGAAAATAACTGGGGTCACATTGTCACATAATGTGGAAATACAGTAGCTTCAGTTATGACCATTTTTTGTAGGGGTTTCTAATTAAATCCCATTAGGTGTTGATTGTTCTTTTTGACTTGACTTGGCACAATACAATATCTATAATGCATTATTCATCAGACGCCTGTGTCCATGCGCATCGCTGAAGGCGAACAGGCCTGCCCACTTCTTAATGACGTCTGCAGGGTGTTGATGAGTCAGCATACATAAACTCGACAATGAGACATAATTATCTATAGGGATATAATTAATAATAAGATTTGGACAATTATATGCACCTTATATTTGATGAGGAATTAGTTCATTTTGATGCATCTACATAAAGCATTGTTTTCTTCTGTAGTGGTAACTCGGCCGTAAACATAGCAGCTTTACTGTGTGTGAGCACTGAACCACAAAGCCAATTTAAATGTTTCCTGTCAAAACACCAATCAACAGCCTTTACGCCCCGGAGGAGGAATAAGTCCCTTAAAATGACACAAACTGACCTCTATACAGTTCCTTGGCATTAAACATTTAACTGTGACTGCTGTGCGCTCTTCAAAGTTGCTTCATCACTAAGCAATCAGCACAGGTACACATAAAGACCTGGCAGTAAGGCTGTAGTGCTGGAAAACAGACTCAGGTATACATTACAAGATTTCTCTCACTAATGATAGAACTTGACTGGATCAAAGAGTCAGGAGTGTAAGAAGGACAGGTGGAGGACCATGCCAGCCTCACTCAGCACTTAAAAAGATCGAAAGCTTCTTACTGTGTGTTTAAAATGTATTGCACAGCCCATGAAAACTATAAATAGGTCTCTCTTGATATCAAACATCTCAGATTCACGTCTTTTAAATCCTGTCTCAGCTGGGAAATCCATACTAATGTTGTCTGTGCTAATGACAGTAAAATGGCAAGGGTTGCTGGGGCTATGAGGCAGATACAAACTGAAGGCAGGCAGAGATCACTGCGCAGAACAAAACAGAGATACGCCTATACTGTGAGATCAAGATAGATAGCTTCAATGATGCTGACCCACAACACTTATCCACACCTCTGCATTTTGTTTCTGCGCATTCAACCTCCAGCCTATTAGCCGTAACTTTGACTCTGCAAACTGTATCCAGGGCAAACCCTCATTACAGCAAAACGGCTCCATGCACATCCTCCAGTCCTGCAGGCAGGTGGTGGACAGAGTCACAAAAAAAACAACTTAATACTTAGTTTGAGTTTAATAGAAATGTCAGATATATAAACTTACCACAGAGAGAGATTATCAGGAACTTTGGGGAAGTGCATGTTAAGATTTTCTTTAATTAAATCCTCATTACTTCCATCTGAATCCAGTCAGCTGTTATTAATCCCTGTGCATGTGTCTGAATACAATAGACAGCTGCAGGCAATCTGATGGGTTACTGTTTCTGATGTTCTGATGTTTGCATTGTCCCTTTCAACTGGTTGGAGATGTAAAGGTTGAGCCTGGTGCCTTGGTGTATGGCTGGTTTGGAATTCTAATATTCAGGTGCTGTAGGATTTTAGGGATGAACCTCTGAAATAGTTTTCACTTCAGTACTTTTTCGTCTCAGCCTTTTTCTTTCAGGTGCTGCTCAAGTTTTGTGTTTTGTTGTGCCAAATGCAGCTGAATGTCCCTAGTAGATGATTTAGCCTATTTGAGCATTGACTCTCAATTAAATGAACTGTAATACAATGTTAATTCTATAAGAAAATCAAAAATAATAAAGTGTACTTACAGAAATGAGTGATTATCCACCTTTGCCACAGAGATTAATCCTGTTAATGATGAAGGTGCTGATAATGTTGCCGGGCCTTGACGTGTCAGCTGTGATGAACGGAGGGATCCATCAAGGTCTTCCTGGGGTAGGAGAGCGGGTTTGGTGCACATATGAGCAGCAGAGTTGGGGTGACAACTAGCGGATTTCGTTCACAGCAACCGGTGGTGGGTGCTATCCAATCCTCGGGTAGGGTCGCGTCCTCAGTGCCAGCCCCTGTAGAGACAGAGGAGGTCATCCCTCTGGAAGAATGCTGCTTCTCATTGCAAAAACAAAGGCTGGGATTGTCAAAGCTGATGGCAAGGGGACGGGGCGGAGGGGCAGCCATGGCCGGAGGAATCGGGACAATAGAATAAATCACATGAAAAATGTCACAGCCCTACAAATGGAATTCTTACTTGGGGATGAAGTGAGATTTGAAAATTTGAGAGAGCTATGCATAACGTGGGGGTTGTTTATCTGAAGCATAAACAGCTATAATCACATGGTCCACTAGACAGACAGTAAGGGCATTTCTATTCATTTTGCTTTCATTTCCTGACAGGCATATGAAAGGAGTACATTCTGAATGGACTCCTTGCTTGAAGAGTCTAATAATGGGATAGGGTAAAAAATATGCCGCAGGTCTAAAGAACTCTACAGAAGAAGCAGCAGTGTGAAAGGCAGAACACATCAGTAATTAAGGAGCGTGGTTATATTTTGCATGTGACAAAGTGCAGCGGCTGTAAATGATGCTGCCTACAGCAGGTGGTTTAGATGAGTGACTATGACCTTTCCAGCTTGTGGAAGATTAGGCCAGTTGAAATCACACCTACTGTATTACATTCAGAGAAATGTTAATTTGTTCATCAGCCAATAGATGTTTCCCATGTCAGACATGACTTATCACTGCAGGGAAATCACATTTAATGCTGCACTCACATCATATCATTCAGAACATATTAGGAACACCATTCATGCCAGAGTCTGACTTGTAATTCCGGTTTAGAGATATTGTGAATTTCTGACAGTGATGATATCTCCCACTTGGTGAAAAGAATGAAAGAACAAAAAGTTTCAACAAACCACTGGCAACACAGCTGTAAAACCACTGTGTATAATATCCAATATTAGCCCTGATAGAATAATTTCAGCCAATTTAAAAGGAGTTGTAAGCTGTTTGCATCTGGTTTAAAATGTTAATGAAACACTACAGATATGTAACGCACTAATTAGCACATTAGCGGTGCTAATTACATTTTTATCTAGTGTGACAACATGGCTAGCAATGGTGTGC